AAATAGTCTTCTAGAGATGGAGAAGGGAATAAGAGAGAGACAGAGAAGGAAGAGGGAGAGGTAGTGTGGATAAAAATAATCAAAATTATTATACACATGTACCAATAAACTATCACAATTCTTTTAAATGTTTAAAAAATTTTAAAATTTTATTTTAAAGAGAATAAAACAAATCAAATCAAAGCAAAACAAACAGAACAAAGCAGAGCAGAGTAAAACAATGCAAAGAACACTGGATTTTCAGAAAAAGATGGCAGGAAATCAACAGTGACTCTTAATGACTCTTGTTTTCTTCAAAATAGTTTCTGATACCATCACATACAATAAATTAATACACATCAAAATAATATAAAAGCAATCACAACAAAAAAATGGGAGCCTTAAGGGCTTTCAAGATCAGACACTAGGAAATTAGTAATGGCTACCATAATGTCTCTTTAAACTATCACAGTTTTTATTCTTTATCACTAATATGCACCAACAGAAGTAAGAAATAAATAACAAAAGCTTTATATTTTGACAACCAAAGATGTTGTTTTGGTTTCTTGCTTACATAAGTTTCTCATTTTTGCATACTAAATTCCCTACAAAGAAATTCTACTGAGGCCAAACTTTTATGCAAAAACTTAAGCCAGCCTTACACTAAGGCACAGAGATTGCTATAAGTCATGGAAAAGATAACCTTGGCTGGAAGGTCTTGAGGGTATGAAAGAGTGTGTCCATTTCTAGCACAAATAAATTGATTCTGGCACTCACAAGCAACTTGACTCAAAGAAATACCACATTCTCTAGCTCTGTTGTGATTAATGCCCCCACCTACCCCTATATGACTAAATAAATTGTCTCACTGATTGAAAAGTTACATCATAATTATTCTGGTGCTTTGGGGTTTATATGAGTGGATAAAAGGAAAGTATGGCACTCAATGTTACCTTTTCATATTCTTTTTCACTGGGTCATTTAGCAAATGTGTATTTTCATTTCCCCTCTGCAAGAGGTTGCAAATAAACGTTACCAAATAAGGGGTGTTACTTACATCCAGAAGTTTACATTAACATGTCAAAAATCACTGGTGAACTATAAATGATTGTTAAATAGATTACGAATACATAATGGGTTATACATTCAGTCAGTGGTGATTTTATATAACACGGATACCATCACTGTTCTTAATGAAATGAAATGGAAAACAATTTAAAGTTAAAAATAATGAATATTTTTCTCTTAAAGTGTCCTGTTATGTTTTTATATATACCACCCTCCTTTTTTTGTGTGAAGTCTGTATTTCACACCCAAAGTAGAAAGGTGATCCCTCGCGAAGAAGAGGAAATAGTTAAGGAAACAAATCTGGAAAATAGAATGAAAATGTGCTTTATCTTAATGGCTTCTAGTGGATGGGACTGGATACTTCACATCTTCTCTGTCTGATTATGTGTCATGGCCTCCTGCTGAAAAAGTTATTAAAGTTCTAGAGAACAATGTACAGAACTCTATTTGTTCAAAGATTTGATATCGCACAAATAGCTTGAAATTGGAAACCAATTCTTTTCCCACTAAATGCTTTACCCTAACTTGCTGCTTCCTGCATGTAAATAAGAAATTCTTATTTCATGCTAAATTTAATCATTGTATAATATTAGTCTAAGTTTGTAGAGTTAAAGTTTTACACACTCTCATTTTATGAATATTATGATTAATGGTGGAGTTTTTAATAAGATACAAATTATTTGGAAGATTATAAAAGTCAGGTGGGGTATAAAAAAGATCTTAAACACTGGCAAACAGCATTATTTGGCACATAAATTTACATGGCAAATAATTTCATCTACTTACAACTTTACTGGCTTCACTTACTAAGATGAACAAAACATGAGACTGTGAAAAGGACTGTCTTGCCTCCAACACAAATCAGAGACAATAAGAAAAGATGGGAGAAAATGAAGGCTTGTTTACTGGCAGAGTGGCACATCCTACAACTCCAGCACTTGAGAGTCTAAGACAGAAGGAAGATCACTATGAGTTCAAAGCCAGTTTGGTCTAGGTAGTGTGTTCAAGGCCAGTGTGAACTACATTGTGAGACCCTGTCTCAAAAAACAAAACAAAACAAGAGGCCTTGTTTAGAAATCTCATGGAGAAGTCAAGTGACCCATTTTAAATCAACTCATCGCTTCCACTGACCTATCATTAGAATGTTTTAAGAATAACTCAAAAAGTTTAAAATCAGTGCATTTAAAATCTGTGCCTCATTGAATTTCCCAAAGGGCTAGTTAAACACTCAGCCTTCACTTTAAATTGAGGCTTTCAAAAGCTAATAAAGCTTGATCTAAATTTCCTGCTCCTATTAATTGATGAAAAATGAATGGATCTGTCCTTAGGGAAACACACAGTTCAGCTTTACCATCCTGCAAATAAAACTGCTGGCCTCATTCCCATCCACAACTTTTATTCTTGGACCAGAGAACAGAAGAAGCTTGCACTTACCAACGGTGATTTAGTAAATCCTCTTATGTGTCAGATGTGATACATGTTTTAGGGTACCTAAAGATAAATATGAACTGCATAGTGATAAATAATTCAGTTCATGTTATATTAAGAAAACATATCAGTGATGTTCAGCCAGAGCCTAGAGGACGATGATGTGGAGTGGTCAGTTCTGGTCACAGAGTCTGTTGCTATAATTCCAGATTTCAGGAGTGGAACCATTTTTAATTACAATAAAATACTGGATAAGAGAGTTGTTCCCTATCCTGCAATGAAAGAAGTTGTAGAATATGAGAATGACAGATTGAAGGGGTATTCAGACAGGTGTTAAAGTTATCTGAGAATGTGGAAGGACACATGATGGAGAAGGACGTGAATCAGATGTCTGAATTCTTGATAAGTACTTGGAAGTGGCCTGGAAATCCATACAGCCTAGTGATAAGGATAGTATAAATACTAAAGGGAGCTGGAATGGTACAAGAGAAGGATATGTTAGTTGTCTAAAATAAAAATGAGAAAAATGTCTTAACCATTTCCCAGGCCTGTGACACAAAAGGTGTCAGAATATGAGCATCCTTGAATGAAAAGAATTTTAGCAAAAACAAGGAAATAGTGTTGTATAGGTTGAAGATGTAAAGGGTGTTTATAGATCACAACAGAAAGGCTGCAGAAGGCCTGGTTGAAAGTACTGTGAAATAGTAAATAGAGAATGAACAGAGAATGAGGAGAACGGGAGAGAAAGAAGGCAGGGAGGATAAGAGACAGACAGACAGACAGTCAGAGACACGCAGAGAGATGGACAGAGACAGAGGAGCAGAGAGACAGACCAACAGGCAGAGAGAGAGAGAGAGAGAGAGAGAGAGAAAGAGAGAGAGAGAACAGGAATCACATTACAGCAACAGCTGGGGGTAACAGAGAGTAAAAAATAGGAGTAACTGGCCCTGTGATTCTCAAAAGTCCCAGTAACCTGGTGTCTATTTGCATATAGTCAAGAAACTGCCTGCAACAGGACCACTGACTTTGTCTTAGGCCTGTTCTGGGACCTTATTGGTCCATTGCAACCCAGGGAAAACAGCTCATTAATTCAATATCTGGGTTTTTCAATTAAGTTTTGAAGTAGATTTCTTTCTGATAATGAAAAATACCCATCACAAAAAAATAAAGTATAAAGAATAGAGATTGCTTATAATCTCCTAATGGAGATAATATAGCCATTGTTAACAAATATCTGACAACAATAGAATCCTTGGAATTTATTAGTTAAGACTCCAGAAAAATACCATGTAAGTCAATGTTTCTTCTCTCTCCTGCCAATGCCATCGCTCACATTCTCCTTTCTAACTTGCTTTCTGTTCTGCCTAAATTAGTCCTCAGTCATCTCTGGAGTGGGCATCCCTGTACACTGAGCTCATCCATTTAGTCACTAAGCATTGAAGTGATGTCACTTTGTGGCTGCAGAGGGGTAGCCATGGGCAGATACTTAGGATGCTTCTTACGGACCTCCTAGGAATGAAAGGCCACGTTGCTGGGCAATTTAGGAAACCACTGAGCCTTTCATGTCTACGGGTAGATACCACATTGGGGGTACTAGGCTCTCCACTGCTATATCTGCTGCCAATCACTTGCTGCTGTTCACCAATGAGGTCTTACTCTCTCTTTTACCAGCAAGACCCATTCTCTCCACCCAGACATGATATAGTGAGCCAGGGTGTAGAACGGAGCTCTGCCAAATACACATTAACTTCAATTGCTTCGACACAGTGGGGAATCTTGAATAATGGTTTCAGTCCCCCTGAAAACGATACCCATATACCCCAGTTTTATCATTTTACCTCTATTTCCAGATGGAAGAAATAAAATAGGCCTGGGAAGAACAAAATTTCCACCTCTTTGAACTTGGTTGTAGGTTGACATTGCAGGATAGGGAACAACTCTCTACAGGTTGACCTTTACTTGTGTGAATCAGGACAACCGTATACCACAGCCTTGCTGATTTGTTTTCTTCCTTCTGCCCACCTATCTCCTGCCACTTCCCCAGCAACACATAAAACTTTCAACATCCTGCTGTCCATTAGCATAAATAAACTCATGCTTTTAAAATAAAAATAGTTTCAGTGGTATATTTGTTAAAGAATGATTACCAGAGGATAAAAATATTCCTGAGTAACAGGTAGATCACATACTTCAGAGACAATGATATGCTTTTATTGTGGTTCCCTGAAAGCCAATTATTTTAGCCATAGATTAAAACCTTGCAACTCAGAGCAAGTTACATTTCTACTTCAGAAATTGCTAAACCATGAAGTTTCCCAGGACATGTTCCCCTGTGTTTTTTTTTTTTTTGTTGTTGTTGTTGTTGTTGTTGTTGTTGCTAAAGTATTAGAGCATTTATAAAAATAAAAAAAGATAAAATGCCATTTAAATTCAATCTTTGCTATATGAACAATGGATATGTTAAAGCTTTCCCTCTTGTTTTTATCTGTTGTTAATATAAATTTTGTGTAACATTTTTGCAATAGATAAGAAAATACTGGGCTAAGAAAGAAAAGAAATGGCAAGAAATGGAAATGAGAGACCTTCAGCGTCTAGAGGAACTAAAGAAATTAATGGCTGCACAGTCAGTAAAAGACAGAGAAAGGTAAAAGAGATTTGAAATTGTATGATAATGGAGGTTGTAAATGGAGTCTTCTGTAATGTGTTAAGATAAACAGTATCAGACCAAGCGTTTTTATACTGAATATATCCATTCAATATTTATATTCTCAAATGGACAAGTGATTTCTATAATGTATTTTAAATTCTCATTTTCATACATAAACCTCTAATTTCTATTTTGTTCCATGGATAGCTTCCTAGTTAAAGCTCTCACAGAGGGTTTTATAGTATCCATTTGCCAACTATGTGCATGAAATGATATTGGATTCTGCTGTGACTTAATAATTTGACCCAGAAAGAGGAAAACATTATTTTTATAGGAAGAAAGGCCTGTTTACTATGGCTTAGGCGGGGGAGATCATTCAGAGCTGGTTGGTACTCATAATATTATCCAACTAGTTATGAAAAATCATGTAATTTTAAAGCTAGAAATGATATTTGCGATCCAGTAGTCAAATCTCATTTTTTGCATAATACACTGAGAGGTTAAAATTATTTTTCCAGGGTTGCTGTATCAATTGAGTCAAATAGAGAACACAGATGACACTGTAATTTGAACAGGAAAATGTTAGTATTGCAAATTATAAAACTTTTTCAGAAAATCCCTGTTCTATATAGCAATGAAGAGCACTCTAGGAAATACCCAAGGGCTACAAAACACTTCTTAAGGAAGAAACAAACTTGCAATTGAGCCTCTCTCTCCCTGATTAAGACCTCATTGTAGAAGCTTCTGTTACGGCCCACTGTGTGCGGGAAAGGTTCTTGGGTGGCTTAAGCTGGTGATAGTTCGTAGACAGTGGTCAAGCAGGAAGTACCCCAGTTGGATACAGGCAGGCCAGAGATGCAGTTGGCCTTTGAAAGACTTGCAGGACTCAATGGAAATCTGTTCTAGACACTATCCTTGAAATTGAATAAGAAATGAATCAAATTTCTATTGCTATTAGAGTGTCAAGGACAGACATGCCGCTGATTATCACCTACAGGTGCTGCTGGCCACTACATGGTAAGGGCAACTGAAATTCTTTTGCTTTTTTCCTGTATCCATTTTTAAAAATTTTATTTTAAAGAGAAAAAACATAAGACAAAATTTCAAAACAAGATAATTAGAGGATAACAATAGTTAATATATTGCATAGTGTTATCTTTAAATTACTCAGACTACAAGATATCAGCATTTAATTGTCCAGACAATCTAGCACAAACATTTCTTCCCAATGGACTAAGAGAAATTAGTAGCATAACTATCTTTGTTTCATGTATATATAAACGATGATATATGTATATATCAGCTTCTTAAATTCGGGAGACTATATAATGTTTGCACATGCAAATCTGATTTGTTTCACTTACGAGTATGGTCTCTAATTGCATCCATTTACCTACAAAAGGCTCAAGTTTATTCTTTATGGCCAAGTAGTACTCCATTGAATAAAAATATCATATCTTTTTTATCCATTCTTCGGTAGGGTTATTTCCAAGATCTAACTATTATAAATTGTGTTGCAGTTGTTTCTAAGATCTAGCTATTACAAATTGTGTTGCTAGAAACATGGGTGCACATGTATCATGTGGTAAGATTTTTTTTTAATGCTTCTGGGAAGATACCTAGTTAGGGACTATCTGGGTCAAATGGGACCTCCAATCCTAGTTTTTTGGCTTTTTTTTTTTTTTCTGTATCAAGGACCAAACTCAGAACCTAGCACTTGCCAGGCAGGAGCCATGGAGCTAAATCTCCAACCCTCCTAGTTTTTTAAGGAATCTCTACACTGATTTTTACAGTGGTTGCACCAGTCTACACGCCATAAAAAGTGGAAAAGTGTTTCTTTTTCCTCATAGTCCCACCAGTATTTGTTATTGGTTGATTGTTTAATCATAGCCATTCTTTCTGGGATGAGGTGGAATCTCAGTGTAGTTTTAATTTGCGTCTCTCTAATGACCAGCAATATTGAACATTTTTTCATATACTTATTTGCTGTTTATATTCCTTTATTTGAGAAGTATGTATTCATCTCAAATGCCTGTTTTTGGATTGGATCTTATAAATTTAAGACTTTTTTGAATTCTTTATATGCTCTTGATAGTAATCCTTCATTGGAGGAACAGCTGGCAAACATTTTCTCTGATGTTGTGGGTTGTGTCTTCACTCTGTAGTTGGTTTCTCTTGCTGTGCAAAAGCGATTTTTGTCTTTTTTTTTTTTTTTTTTTTTTTTGTAATGGGGATCGAACTCATGACCTCACACTTGCCAGGCAGGCAATTATGTTGCTGAGCTAAATCCCGGGGAGCAAAAGCTTTTTAATAAAATGAGATTCCAGTTGTTGATTCTTTGTGATAGATCCTGTGCAACTGAAGTTTTATTCATAAAGTCTTTGTCTACACCAATGCCAGCAATAGTTATACCTATTCTATTTTCCAGCAGATTTAATGCTTCTGTTTTTATATTAAATCTTTGATCCATTTTGATTTTAGCTTAGTACATGGTGAAAGATATAGGTCCAGCTTGAATCTTCAGCATGTGTAGAGCCAGTTTTTCTAACACCATTTATTAAAGAGGCTATCTTTCTTCCAGTGAATGTTTGTGACGTGTCAAAGATAACGTGGCTTAGGATGACTGGAGTTGTTTCCTGCACCTCCTAATCTATCCCATTGATCCTCAGGTCTGTTTTTGAACAAGTAAAATTCTGAAGCATTCTTTTCTTTTTCTGATGCAGCTAAATATTTTGCCAGCTTCAAGGGGGTATGGGAAATCCAGCTCTGGTTTCATTCAGCAGATTATGAAGGGTGGATATAGAGCTGAGAGACAATAAGTTGATAACTTGCATAGTCATCTCATTTAACTAGCTCCTTACTCATCTTTTCACATCACTCATTTCATAACATCAATCACACACAGTAAGGTTTTTTTAAGTTGTTGGCATCTCAAATGTATTTATTTCAATTAGTGACTATGAGAAAATTGCTTGGAACTCAGCATTTTCTTTTTAATTTTGGAGTGAAATGCAACTGCTTTAAAAATATATTATATAAATATATTATAAAATTACCCTTCAAATTTGTATAACTTTGGAAGACATAATCATTTTGTTTCAAATTTCCACTCATATCTGTGAAGTATCCCTTGTAACCTTTGTGATCATTATTTGAAATTTTAGCCCCTGAGATTCCAGAGTCAATCTGAGTTTGCAGATAAATGCTAGCTGTTCATAAAGATATTCTGAAATATCACATTATTTCTCATGCAGTTTAGGACTATAGAGTTGAGTATCATTTTCTGCTGAGAGAACAAAAATACAGTGAAAGTGAGACTCAAGGTTAAGAGGTCAAGCAATCTATGAGAACCCAGACAAACAAGTACAAACCAGTATCTACGTAGATACCAGAGCATGGGCTATGCTGTGGTTCAGGAACAAGAAGGTAGAGAAGCCCAAACAGCTAATTATTAAAAGGCCAGGCAAAGGCAGTGGTCAAAATGCTGTTCGGGTGGTCTACAACTGTTCTGGGAAAGAAAGAAAGTCACGGGAATTAAAAGGGGTGGGAAAAACAGAACAGATGTGGAGTCCCAGCATTGAGAGACATCCTTCTAATAGAATCATCCCTCATAGCAGGGAGCTTCTTTGATTACAGAATCATTTCAGTCTTCTGCTTCCTGCCCCAGTAATTATCAAGATTAGCTGATTCAGAAATTCAGCTGAGAATAAGAAGAAAATCAGATTAATCTGCATTACATAACAGAAAAAATATAGCCCTTACAGCATAGCAAAAAGTACTAATGACTAGGAGCCATAGAGCAGAGTTTTATTCTTAACTCTTCTTTGGATAGTACATGACCTTGGGAAAGTCATCATTTCATCTCCACAAGGCTCTGTTTTGTCCTCTGGAAAAATGAACTGGACAGCATCTGAAGGCTAAGCGTGCTGATCAGCTTTTAAGGGTCAGTGATGTTCAACTCCTCTGATGAAGTGCTGCAGAGCCAGATAATTATAAGTCCAATGTCAGCACACCAATGGGAAATCAGTGAGCAAAGGTATTAAAATATCAGCATATAACCACGGAATAAGTCTAAGAAAAACTGTGATATTGTAAACAGAAACGTGGTCTTTCTTCTATGACTAAGGGAGATGGAGTTCAACTCATAAAACTTGCTGATAGCTTTTGCTTCTGACAATACCAGAAATTGTGTTCTTTTGCAGCCATCTTGGCACCAGGAACTTTGGTTGACTGGTTAAAACATTTTCCTGTCATAGTGAAACGCAATTCACAAAACTCATGTTCGCTATTTTAACTGTAAGCACATTTTTATATCAAAATAAAGTTTGAAATAATTTCCAGTTCTGTCATCGAGGTACACACACATAGCCTTGAAGGTTTGAATCTTTTGTTATTTTCTTCCTCTTTGTATTTTTAAAGATTAAGATTCCTAAAAATGACATTCATGAGTAATCTAACAGTTGAACAGTATAAAAATTTCCTTTTCCTGAAAGATTGTTGAGGATTAGCAGTTTCATGTGGTTCAATACAACAAAAAGATATGGCAATTTAGTTTATTACATTTTATTTCTCTGTTTATTACAGTATTACTTTTTTCCTTTTCATTTCATTGAAATTGTTTCTGACAAGGTTTCCACTAACCACCCAATTTCCTGAAGTCCTATTTTCATTTCTCAACATGTTATTGAGGTTAAAAGGGAAGGCTCTAGAACCAGATGGCTAGTATTAGAATTCTAGCTCTCTCTTTCCTAGATAATATGCGGATAAGTTATTTAACGTCTCAGTGCTTCAATTTTCTCATCTGTAAAATGGAGCTATAAATACTGTCTATTATGTATTCATAGGATTGCTACAAAGATCAAATGAATGTAACATATTACTTGGAACATAGTAAGTAATCATTAAATATAAATGATTCCTATCAATTGACTGTTTTTTTTTACAACATGTGATACCTCAACCATAATTGATTGTTGAAAAAATTTAGGCTTTTAAAA